TCTCCTTCCAGATGCTCCAGGTGAACAATGCCGACTCTCAAGGTTGAGCGCACTCAACTCCTCACATGAGAGGACTCTCAAGACAGAACACACATCCTCACGGTAAGAAGTGTCGAAGAGGGTAGATAAGGTTAAGAGCAACGTACCTCAAAATAGCTGCCCCCAACCACAGATATTCTCACCAGATGACATGATGCCGATTGTGATGACCAGTCGCTGCTTCGGCACAACCAGCATTACACCGCCGTTCCACCTCAGCATCAATCGCACATTAGATAGTTCTCATCACACTGCGAACACCCAATAATCACCACGTAGCCTTCCTGGCGATACCCCTCACCTCCTGGGTCGCCTGCTTGCCTTCGCCCTCCTCACTACACACTCCCTACAGCCGCTCACCTAGCAGACCGCATGCATGTACCGCATAGGCAGAAGACAAGCGTCAGATTGGCGCACCGTACCACAGCTCCGATACCAAATTGCAAGGAAAATGAGCGATAGCGAACTTCAGAAACCAAGCAGATCATACACATGAAACCAGATAGTCGTGACCTCGAACCAGAAGCAGAATTGTAACACGAGTTTCACCAAATAAGAGCACAGCAAAAGCTCCCAAGTGACAATGTTGGGATAGTCTCATCATCATCAACAAAGAACCAATGTCGACATCCTATCTGGTGCTCTGCGCCCAGACTACAAATGGCAGATCATATCTTGCCTATCTACAATGCTGCTGGTGACGTCAACAGCTCCCCACAGTACGAGCAGATCTCGGCCAACGCCGTTCGCCTCAAGCACCAGGTATGTCTCTCGTATCACTCACAACCTCGATCCCCCACTCACAGATGCCACATGCACCCAAGGACCACCATGCGCCCCATCCAGCATAATGGAGCGCAGCTCGGCTATGGCTGCCTGCTCATCCAGCTCGCCCGTGAGCGTGTGAGCGCTGGCCAGCGTTTAGCGCAGCAGCGCTTGCGCAGCATGCAGCCAGTGTCCGAATGCCAAATGCGGGGGAAGGCACTTTCCTAAATGGAAGTGGCCTGCCTGCTGCGTGTGCCCTGGCTGCGCTGGGCCCCTGCCCAGAAGCTTCCGGTAGGCCCCGAGAGGCTGAGCCTCGGTCCAAACGAATCAGGCCCAGGGCCTGTGACGGTTGCCTGTGTCCAACTGCCCACAGCCTGTGTTTGGCCCATGTTCTGTATCTGGCCCAGGGCCTGCCTCGGTTACGTATGAAAAGGCAGCCAGGGCCTGGGCGCTCTTAACAACTGGCGCTGCGCAACTGCCTGAATTTCCCCAGTTGCGTGGTGGCCGAAAAGTAAGCCTCTTGGCCTTGGTCGAGCCTGCCTTCACTTAGGGCGGCCGACAGTGCTGCTTACAGGGCCCAAAGGGGCTCGTCGGGGCCTTATGCCTTGAAATAAAATAAAATAAATAAAATAAAAGTCGAACTGGTCTGCCTTTAGGGTTTTGCTGTTGAGTCAAATTCAATTCCTCCCTCCTTTCTTCTCCTCTTGGTTTCAACTGAGTTTCTTTCAGCCATCTCCCCTATTTCAGTCAAATCCATCATCAAGTCCTTCACCCTTCTTTCCTCTCGGATTCTTTCGATGGTCAGGATGGCATCCTTGGCGAAAGTTTCGCTGATTTCTTCTCGATTCTCTGCGTTTGCCACTTACTGTTGAGTGGAAGGCAGATGTTTGGCCTTTGAGTTGGTTCCCCCTCCAAGACACCCAGAACCAGTGTGGGCATGGCAGTTTGTCATCAAACACCCATCTGATGTACTGAGAATTTAGTAATTTACATACCAAAAGCCTAGCTCCCCTTCCACTTCAGCCATACTCCTTTGCCTTACTTCTCTGGGTTCGGTTGTTTCCAATTTTTTGGAAAATTCGGGCCTTGTCCCTAGGTGTCTTCTTTATCTGCATTTGAAGCAAATGGGTTGCTGGTGGTGGAAATGGCAACATTTAAAACATTTTTTATGTTTATTTTTTAAATTTTTATAAAAAAGAAGCTGTAGTCTCCTCATCGGAGGACAGCTGTATTTTTTTCTCTCAATTTTTCCTCATATATACACACCTTCCGAGAAGGGAACACTAAGGGTTATGGGTCTGAATTCCCAGCCTACTCAAATCTGCTCTATGGGAGGATCAGTACCCCAGCTCCTAACACCGGGCACGAGCTGGAAAGCGCACGCCGTTGCTTTCACAACCTGGCCAGGAGGCCCAAGCCTTCACTGGTGAAACCCAAATGTAACTCAGGGGGCCGTGGGGGATCGGATGGAGGACGTGGGGAATCAACCCCACGACCTCCTGAATACCACTTACGTACTCAACCAACTGAGCTAGCCTGCTTGGGCTTGGAAATGGCAACATTGTTTCAACCCGTATGGTGTACGACAAAAAACCTGTTGTCTGCTATAGCTGATTAGCTCAGTGGGTAGAGCACTGGTTGGAAATGCGCATTGTGGTCTGAGGTTGTGGGTTCAAAACTCCACAGCCTCGTGCATGGACACCGGCAGGCATTGACCGACCCACGGGTGTACACACCTTAGCCTTGGGATTGGTGTACGGTAAGGATTACAGACACTGCCGCACCACCCTAGGGATTCAGTCCAGGATTGTTGTATGTTGGGTCTGGGGTATGAGGGGTTGTTCCAAGGTTCTTGGTCCGTGGATTGTTCAGATGATTGTCCCCCGGTCAATACCAGTTGTCACGGTAGCTCAGTTGGTTTGAGCTTGGGCTGTATGGATGATGGGGGGAGATCCAGGATTCAAGTCCAAGTAGTCTGATCAAGCACATAATGGATATGGGTCGGTTCTAGATGGAGTAGGTAGTGGGGGTAATGGGGTTTGGTAAGCCTGGCTTCGAAGGGCGCCATGTGGAAGGGAGTTGGTGCCACGGCATTCAAGGGTATGAGCGAGCGGAGCCGGAGCATATTGGGGTTGTCCTGCTCTGATGATGGGTAACCACTAGGGGTGGGTGGTAGCTTTCATTGGGTGGAAGAAGTAGTGTCAAGGGGGATGTCTTGGGACCGCATCGGTACAACAAGTAGGTTACAACTTGAACAACCCAATGCGATCAGAGAGGGGTCTAGGAGGACACTTATAGGTAGAGGGCGGATAGGGGGGCGTACATATGCGGACAATATGCTAGAACTTCTAGGTCGCAAACAGACAGCGGTTCACATAACGAATAACATGACAATTTGGGGGGGGGATAGGGTTGGGGTCTACCTACGGAACTTGTAGAAGAATGTCTATACCTAGAGCCCGAAGTACCCGGGCGGCAGGGTTTGTCCGACTATGCTTCAATCAGGGCTGAGTGAGGTAATTAGGTCCGGCTTAGCCTTGGTACCTGCATCCGCTGTCCGGTCAGGTTGCCTCCGTCAAGATGATTGTGGGGTCACAATCCTGAGAGATAGACACTAGAGGTAGGATCGTGGGGGTGGAGGGGCGCCAGGAACTAATGATGAAATAGTCGTAGGTTGGGAGGGAGTCCCGTAAGGAATGACGTCCTCTGTAGATCATCTGGATAACCACATGGCCGACTACCGAAGACAACTGTCATATGTCTCGTATCCAACCTCAGCAACAACCTGTACTTGGGCTTTAAAAAAAAAAAAAAAAAAAACGTTGGCTGATAGTCGTGGTGGGGTTCCATTTTTCAGATCCAAGCAGACTGTCATCGTGTTGTGTTGCGGGATCAGGAAATCAGGAATGGCTATAATCCACTTAACCATTTAGAACTGACCGTACTCCAGTTCTAGTCTTACTTTAATGCCACCCCATGCAGACCTTCGTGCACATTGTCAAACTGCACCGAAAAGTACTAAAAGGAGAAGGTGAGATTCCAAAGGGAGTGTCCGGTTCCCATGGGTAGACTGAAACGACTAAGGACTTGCAGGTGAAAGTTTTGTTCCTTAGAAAGTCAGCATATGAAGGGTCCTGACAGACAACCACTATGACGTTTTCATCTTCATGACTGGAAGGAGACTTCCCATTCTGCCCCAGTGATCTGCTCCAGACTCCTTAATTTCTCCAAGAGCCACTGTGATTCGGCAGGGTGGTTCAGGCCCCGACTCTTTCCTTAAAATGTGAGTAGCACTGTGTACTTTTTGTCAAACCCCTCTAGTTTAGGAAGGTAGTCTTTTGGACATTCGCAAACTACCACTTCCTCCTTCCTGCCATCATTTGTTCCGATTGTTTTTTACCCTGCATATCATGCCCACCTTTTGTTCGTTCTGCCAACCGGTTCTTGAGTTTTGATACCCATTTCTTCCTTGCCATGATGTTCCTCTTCTTACTCTCCCAGTTCCTTGCTGCCCGTAGTAGGCTTGTTGCAAGAAATAATAATCATACTTGCAGGGAGGAAGGAGAGAGGTGAGGAAGAGGGTGGGAAGGAAGGCGAGGGGAGGAAGGAAGCGGTGAGGGAAGAAAGGAGGGGGGAGTAAAGAGGGCGTGGAGGCAGGAGGGAGGAAAGGAAGAGAGGGGAGGAAGGGATAGGAGAGAGGAGAGAGACGGAGGGAGGGTTGGGACGGAGGAAGGGAGAGAAGGAAGGGAAGGGAAGGGAGGGGAGGGGAGAGAGGGAAGGAAGGAAGGTAAGGGGTGATGATGAGAAGCTGCAAATTGAACTCAATATGTGAGGCTTTGGTATCACAATGAATACATTGAGCAATGGAGGGAAGAAAGGAAGAAGAACGGAAACAGGAAGCAAGAAACGAGGAAGAAAGAAGGGAGAAGGAAGAAAGGAGGAAGGAGGGAAGAAAGGAGAGACGGAGAGAAGGGAAGGAAGAAAGAGCAGAAAGTGAAGAAGGAAGGAAGAGCAGAAAGTGAAGAAGGAAGGAAGAGAAGAGAGGGAAGGATGGAGGGAGGGAGGGTGGAGTCAGTGAAGGGGGGAGGGAGGGTGGAGGGGGAGAGGAAGGAATGAAGGACAGAAGTCATACAAACGAATGAGAGATGTCTGCAAGGTGTATTGTTTTCCAGATTATTTCGACTGATGAAACTTACCTTGATGTTTCGACCATCGATGATAACTTTTGCTCCATCATCAATACCACTCTCGATGAGGCTGCATATCCGCTCCTTCGCCTATACAATTACAATACCTCATGGGCACAGTCAGTCATGCCAGGACTTAATCATCACCATCCAAGGGTTTCCAAAGTTCCCATCACATGAGCTTTTTCTTAGACCACCAATTTGTCCCCAGCCTCTTCTCCCTGACACTGATTTTTCCCTGGACCTAAGAAATCTAAGCTGTCGCAGGGCCCGGTTTGCCTGTGTCGCCAGCCTTTTAGGACAAAGACTCAAAGCCTTTTTGTCGCTCCGAATTCAACGGTGCCCGTTTTCTCAAAGGTTGCTCCAACAACTCGTGGTTTAAGCCACAATTACTTCCGAGGTACTTTTCTCTGGGGCTAGAAACACACTGTACCCTTGCAGGGGTGAGATGGATATAATGACCAGTATGGTTCCACTTTCGGACACAGTGTCCTGGCTGGAGTGGCTAAGAGACGTGGCTCTTGAGGCCGAGGTCGCCGGTTTCGAATCCGTGCTTCACGGAGGAGGGGAGGGCCTTACAAGAAATGCAAGAAATGCTGAGGCGGGGAACCCACACAAGCACCCCAATGACAGTCCCAATTGCTCATGGCCTCACTGCTGGATGAAGGCTTCTTCATCGAGAATCATCGAGAACCTGGAAAGGTATTCCACTATCAACGTTCAGAGAACACTCCCCCTTCAAGTTAACTCTCAACTTCTGTTCTAGCCATGTTTTCAAGTGTAAAAGTAGGTCCAGTGTGCAGGGCTGACAGGGTGCCTCCACACCCAATCTCCATCGGCCTGCCTCTGAAAGCTCAAAAAATCAAACTTCCCAGGAAACTTTCTGATTCTACCTCCGGAACATGCTTTCGAAGGCCGAACGGCAGGGAGACAGCTCAGGCACCTTGAACACAAATCCGGACCACTCAGAAAAGATCCAGGGAGACGTATCAACATCCCCAGACTACAAAGTTATTTAAAGTTATTTAAACTTATTTTGCAAATGTTGAATGGAGCTCATATTCAAACCTGCATCCAAAAACTGTGTTGAAGTCTCAAGGGGTGTAAGAAGGGGTCTTAGGGATATAAGGGGTTTTCAAAGGCTCTGAAGGGGTGCAACTTTTTTATATAGAAAAACACTTTGGACCATTTCTCAATTTGTGTGTGCAGTGCTTGCACTGGAGCCATGCGAATCTTCTGTATCGTTCCCATTTTCACTAATATGTCCGGAAAAACAAAAAGGGGTAAACTAGGAGGGTTAGGCCGACGTCCGGTCCAGACGGACCGGGGGGGGGTCCGTCTGGCAAAACCAGACGAGCCAAAAAATGTCCCATTTATTATTATTATTATTATTTGAAGATGGGGTTGGACTGCGCTCGCTGAGAGGAGCCCAAATCCGCAGAGAAACTTGTGAAAGGCATGTGTGTTGTGTGTGTGTGTGGGGGGGGGGGGGGGGGGGGGGGGGGGGGGGGGGGGGGGGGGGGGGGGGAGGGAGGGGGTTGAGGGGAGGGGAGGTGGGGTTGGTTTGACAAGGGGGTAAGAGGGTGTGTTGCAGCAGCCAGTCCCCTGAGGGGAGGGGGTTGAGGGAGAGGAGGAGGAGGAGGGTGACGACGACGAAGAAGAAGAACCAAACAAAGGACGATGAGAAGCCCCTCCCGGAAACAAAGTCTTATGGTGGGAGACTTGAGTATCAAAGTCTGTCTGTCTCTCTCTCTCTCTCTCTCTCTCTCTCTCTCTCTCTCTCTCTCTCTCTCTCTCTCTCTCTCTCTCTCTCTCTCGTGCGCGCGCGCACGCGCGCACACACATACACACACACACACACACACACTTGGACATACTGATCTCATTTTTCCTGTGGAACGAACAACGAGGGGTCCATTGCCGGTGTGGGGTCTTTGGAGGTCACTGTCGATGCGGGTGTAGTGGAGGTGCTTGCAACTTGCCCTTTTCCTTTTTCTGCAGCCATTTTGCCTCCCGTCCTTCGACACCCACCACTCCCCCAGCCGACGCCGCTGCCACCGCCTGCCATAATGCTGTTGAAGTAGAGGATGCATGGACCAACACCAAAGGAAAAACAAAAGCAAAAATATATTGCCCTTTTCCTTTTTCTACAGCCGTTTTGCCTCTCGTCCTTCGACACCCGCCACTCCCCCAGCCGACACCGCTGCCACCGCCTGCCATAATGCCGTTGAAGTAGAGGATGCATGGACCAACACCAAAGGAAAAACGAAAGCAAAAATATCGGAAGAAGAAGAAGAAGACCACAATTGCCAGTTGTGAATGGAGCTGATGTCTGCCCCCTTACGTCCTTTTTGCGAACACAGAAAAAGAAAAAGAAAAAAAACGAACGGGAGACAACGTGCAATAGGATATGGTGGCCAGTACAATATGGCTGGAGGATGTGCGAGAGAGGAGGAAGAGGATGAGAAGGGAAGAAGAAGACGAAAGGAGGGGGAGGAAGAGGAGGAGGAGGAGGAGGAGGAGAGGAGGAGAGAAGAAGACGAGAGGAGGAGGAGGAGGACGAAGAAGAAGAAGATGAAAGGAGGGGGACGAGGGGGACAGAAGAAGAAAACGAAAGCAGAAGGAGGCGGAGGACCTGCCGGTGCTGTATGGCGATGACGAAAAAAAATAAAAAAAGGACGAGGGAGGAGGAGGAGGAGAGAGAGAGAGAGAGAGAGAGAGAGAGAGAGAGAGAGAGAGAGAGAGAGAGAGAGAGAGAGAGAGAGAGAGAGAGAGAGA